CTTCAGGAGCAGAATTTTGTAGTAGACATGGCAAGATGGGCCTAAGGTCCCCTCTGCATTGGACCAGAAGTAATGCCCTTTGCCACTTTGGACAGTGCCTTTTGTGAGATTAGCGTGTTGGGCTTTGGCACATGTGCTTGTCAGAAAAAAGGGGATACCTGCCCTGACTCTCAGGCTTGTGGTTTGGGCCCCATGATTTGGGCCAGACTCTCCCTGAAGGAATGTCAGGGCAGTTTTCTAAGACATTGGGCCTTCTTACCTCATTGCCCTCTGCACCTGGGTTTCTGGGAGTACAGATTTTGGATTCCCAGTGGGCTCTTTCCAATTATAAATTCTGCCAGGTGAGAGTAAGAAAAAGGGGGAGGGAGAGGCACAAAGTAGACAGCAGCCCACCCACACTCCCTGCCTACCTTCCTTCTCCCTATATGTTTGGGGTGGTTATTCTATATACTATCCTGTCCTGGATGCTTGAGAGAGATGCCAGCTAATCCTCTGCTATAAGAGTTTTAACAAGGAGTGCTAGGAGCAGGTAGAATTGTCCACCAATGACCACATTCCATGGAACTGCCTGAGAAGTTTCTAAGACCCTACTGTTGTTAGTCTCCTATAACTTTATATGCGTGAACTAGGTAGGAAATTAATTGCATGCAACTGGAATTTTCCTTGAATTCATGCTCCTACATGCTGGCACAGAATGCCAGCCCCCTTCCAACTTCCACTGGAAGGATTTAGAAGCCCCCAGTGGGCAGGGGGACTGCTGACTCCACCACGACCTGCTGCTACTGCCTGATTTATTTATCGTACTGGTATTCACTGAGCACCTGCCAGGTGCCAGGCACTGATAAATTCACTGGAGGCTCAGCAGAGCGAGCCAATCCCTGACCTCATGGGTTCACAGTCTAGTTAGAGAGACAAGCAGCAAGCAAGACAAATAGAGAAGGTACATATGTGAGTTCAGAGGCAATACTGGGAGAGGGGATTGAATGTTTACTAAAGGCTTTGGTGAGAAAGTGACTTTTGAGTAGACCTAAGAAGTGAGGGGCATTAGCCATGGGGGTGAAGAGGGAAATGGAAAGCACCCATAGGTGCTGCGTGGGGTGTGCCTGGGAAGTCTGAGGAGGGTGGGGCAGGTGTGGCTGGAATGAGTGCTGTAAACTAGGGGAGCAGTGTTAGGAGTGAGCTCTGGGATCTCCAGGGTTTTCTGATCACTGGAGGCTTGTGGACATTAGCATGGCACAGGCAGTCACTGGAGGGTCCCATACCCCTAGAAGTGTTAGTGGAAAAGTGCCCTAATAGGACTATGGGGTTTCATGTGTCCTTAGCAACTAACATATATTGAACTAATAGTTACTTTGTGCCAGGCACCGTGCTAGGCTCCTTACCTGGGTCATCTCATTGAACATTCACGGCGGTTCTGTGAAGGAGTACTACTACTATCAACTCCATTTTCTAGATGAGGAACTGAGGTTCAGGATAAACTACACTCAACTGGAAAACAATAGAACAACACTATAAACCTCAGGATTCTGACTGCAGCCAGTGCTCTTAACCAGTCCTTTGGGAAGGAAAGAAAGGTGAATGAGGTTAGTGATGGCAAGGCCTTCTCACCTAAAGGTGTCATATGTATGGTGGAAAGCAGGGGTCCCCACTATCTTAAATGGCCAGATATGAGTATTTCCAACTTTGCAGGCCACATGGTTTCTCTTGTACCTACTCATCTCTGCCCTCCCAGTTCTAAAGCAGCACTAGATGACATGTAAGCAAGTGGCTATGACTGTAGTCTAATAAAGCTTTATTTACAAAATAAGCAGTGCCCAGGTTTGGCCCTTAGACTAGTTTGCTGCTTGTGGTGCAGAGAAAAGAATGTGGGGTTTGGAGGAAGTCAGATTTCAGTGCCTCTGACAATGTGGGTGACCTTGGGTGAGTCATTTAACCTTTCTATCTTTGCCTTCCTTGAGTCAAATAACTAACTACTATGGGTAACTTATTTACTGATTTATTTTAAAATGGTGTATGAAGTGCCACATATAAGCCCTAAGTGCTGGGAGCCAAGGATACAGCAGGGAACTCTGCTCGTAGAGTCCACCCTATGAGCATGACAGAGATAACCTTGGGCAAAGACCTCGGCAGGTACAATGCGTGACTGGGGCAGGAATTGAACAAGATGATACTTCTCCCTGCTGTCGTGCCCTTACTCATCATTTAGGACCCACTTTCAAGTTGTCATCTGTTACATACAAATGACAGTAAAAAGATAGGAGCATGTGGTGTAACCCAGGGCTTTAATGTGTTTACAATACATTATCATGCAACCCAGGCCTAATTGTGAATCATAATTTTTTCACTAACTGATCTCATTTTACTTGGTAATATACATTTAGGTATGTGAGAGCAATAAAACTCCATTTCTGTTAAATATTATATGATTTAGTTGGTTCACTGATTTAAATTTTTACTGCCCCCGCCTTTCCAGATGAGTGAATCATATATCTTTTTAGATAACAGGGACCTACAAGAGCAGGCAAATCCTGTGCTCTTGCCAAGAAGGGGAAAATAAGTAACCCAAAGCCCTGGGCTGGAGCTGTGAGCAGCCGCACTCTCCTACAATCTCTGGTTTTGTCATAGAAACGCATGCATTTTTTGCATTTTACTCCCTAATGGATCTCAATCTGTTTCATGTGTCTGAGTTTCCTTCCATATGTTGAAGGAAAATTGGTAACCAACATGATGTGCTGTGTTTGTCTTTGGCATCCATGTATATCCCAGCCAATTGCCAGGTAGAGGCAGTATAGATTAGTGGTTAGGACCACCCCCTTGGGAAACAGACCTCCTGGGATTGAATCTCGATGACTTCACCTCCCTCTGAATGAACCTGGCCCAGTTTTCTTACCCTCTCTATGCCTCACTTACATTCTCTGTGACACAGAAAAGAAACCAGTTCCCTCCTCACATGGGGAGATGAATGGTATCTGAACAAGGTTTGCAGCAGAGCTGCGCTCATGGTAACCACTTGGGAGGCATTAGCTATGACAGTTGTCCCAGATTTACACTTCTCTGTAATTTGGGGATGTTCCCTAGGATGCAGCCTGGAGAGCTTGTCACCCAGCACCCATGAGTCCAGCTGCACTTAAAATTATTATTATTATTTTTTAAAGATATATTTATTTATTTATACAAGCACTGGGTACAGTCAGAAGTGCGGGAGGGTGAGAGAATTCACCAGAGCCAGAGCGGGGAGCAGAGCAGGCAGAAGGACCGAAGTACACTGCTGAGGGGAGCAGCGGGCGGCAGGAGAGGTCTGCGCGCCATGTGGGACCCTCCTCTGGTGGCAGGGATCGAACTGGCGCTGCAGAGGCTGCAGGCAGCTTTGCAACCCAGTGCTCAACCACTGAGCCACTGGGGAGGCCCTGCACTTAAAATTCTTTTGGCATCCCTCTCCTGAGGGCTGCAGCATCAAGGTGCTGTCTCTACATTCAGGATCTGGACTCTAATGTGCAGGGAGCTGTGACAGTCCCCTCTCCACGACAACCTCGCTCACCTCCTGGGACAGGGACTCTTCCTTCTGTGATAGGAGGATATTAGGTATCACCGTGTCCCCATTCTGTTCCCAAGCCTCATCCACTCTCCCACACTGGCTCTTGGGAGAGTCCCCCAAGAGGAGATAGATGGTAGCAAGAGGTGTGGTTTGTGACTCTGAGCTTCCTAAACTTTGAAGATTCTGAAACTTGAGCCTCTTGCCCCTTTCCAGCCTGTATCTTTAAGTTACCTGGCAGAGGTGTGCCATGCCGCCCTGACTCCAGACAGGCTGCTGCGGCTTCCTTCAGAGCTCTGTCTCATTCCAGGCATCTGACTCCATCTCTTGCCTCATCACATGTTTATGCGCATGGAAGGTGCTGTCCAGTGGGGCTGGGCATCTCTGTCCAGTTTCTCTGATTTCCGACATTGAGTGGCTTACCTGAATGCCGGCTCCTCAGAACAAATTCCAGAATCTTGACCCATCAGCCTATGTTTTGGCAAGACCTACCCATTACCACTGAAAAAGAGATTTTACTGACCTGCAAGGCTTTCTTGCTGACAATCTTAGTTACCATTATGCTGGTCTAAGTGTTTATATTTTATATATTACTATGATATGTAATCACCACAAATCTTTGAAAGTGGATAAATTTTATTATCCTCATGTTACAGTTGGGAAAATCAAGAGGTTGAGTATTTGCTTTTGTTTATGTAGCCAGTGAACAGTGAACTTGCCTATCAGTCCAAAGCCTCTGCCCTACAGGTGATACTGTCTCTTCCATTTTCTTGGAATGTTCCAGGGAAACTGTGAACTCTTTTTGACCTGGTGTAGAGGCTCCCCTTACAAAGTTGGGGGTACAGAGATCAGTGCCCAGTGTACATGAGGTATGGGGATGCATTGGCCATCTGCTGTCCCTATTTTGGGGACAGAATCTAGATACAGCAGGAGGCAGTCTGGCCTGACTGAGATCTTTGTAGCCAGGTGGATGTCACTTAGTGGGAACAGGCAATTCACTGCAGAGAGAAGGAGTAGGAGTAGGAGAAGGTGGTGGGATGCCAAGAACTAGACACAGGAGCAGACCACTCGCTAGGGGACCTGGGTACGTGGGGTGGAAGTGGGGGTTCAGTCTGGGGAAAGAAATGCAAAAGCCCAGCTCAAGGGCTGGGGTTAGCATCTGTGATGGGGAGGCAGACTGGGGAAGGAGGGGTTCTGACTTGAAACCATGGGGTATAGTGGTCACGTCAGCTTCATGGCAGCTATGGGCTATATTTCTATAGTGCTTGTGCTAGTGGTTGTTCAGTGTATCAATGGGTATGTGGATAGACAAATGGATTTGGGGAAGGATGATGATTCCAGTTCTCCCTCCTCCCCCCCAAAGATGGGGCTAAGATTGTTTCACCCTTCATGGTGGTGAGGAAGGGAGAAGGGTTGTGATGCTATGCAGGGGCACTGACCCACTGTTTCCTTGTCCTTCTTTCTGCAGAGGCTCCTGCCAAGCCTGAGGAGGCAGAGACTGAGCCCTTCACAGACTCTTCTCTGTTTGCGCACTGGGGCCAGGAGCTCAGCCCCGAAGGCCGGCGCGTGGCCCTGAAGCAGTTCCAGTACTATGGCTACAACGCCTACCTCAGTGACCGCCTGCCCCTCGACCGGCCCCTGCCTGACCTCAGACCCAGTGGGTGAGCAGAGTTGGAAGCCCCACTGACCGGTCCTTGGGAGGTGGGGTCACTACAGTGCTGGGAGAAGAGTCAGGAGTGGGCACCTGGACTTTGGGGCCTTCTGCTTCAACCAGGGTCTGTCCTATCAGCCTGCATTGTACAGCACTGCCCCTCCTCCTCCCGCAGCCTCAGTTTCTCAGTCTGCTAAGCAGGAAGGCAGGCTTTCTTCCATTAGAGATTTTGAGGATTAATAACCTAATTTACTCCTGAAGGGCACTAGAATCATCTGGCATTCCTGTTAATAAGTCATTTTAACCCAATTAGTTGCATTTTTATGAACAATTTTTTTTTTTTCCTGTAAATTAGTTTTTTAAAGTACATCCGTCTTCCGGGGCTAACAAGTCATTACACCCAACCGAGAAGTCTGTCTTGACTTCTCCCTTTGTTACAGAAGATGTTCCTTTAAGGTTCAGTTAGAATTTTTATTACTCCTAATTATTAAAAATGTGGGCACATACCACAGCTAAGCTGAGAAAATCTCATTAACTTCTGTGAGCCCCCCCCCCACAATTTCTTCTTTTACCCTCTTTCTGCTCAATTTTACATTTTTCTTAAAGCTGCAAACCACAGTGAGCTTGTATCTGGATTTTTCTGGAAGGATCTTTCATCTGGGTTTGGAGATTATGTGCTTTTAGGGAGGAGAGTTCAGTTCAGTTCTGTAGACCTTTATTGAGTACCTGCTGTATGCTGTATAATTTGGTATGGGTTTACATGGCCCAGGGGAATCAGCTGGGCTCTAGGGATGAAAGAGTCGCTGAAGATCTACAGGGGGAGAAGAGTGTATTCATTTAAAGGATATTTATTAAGCAGCTATTATGTGCCAGAGTAGTCTAGGCACAGTGCTAGAGCAGGGACCAAAACAGATAGAAATCCTTGCCCTTGTAGAGTTTGCATTCTAGTTGGATGGGGCAGATAAAACAAAACAAAGAAGGCAGATGTGTAGCTTATTAGATGGTGCTAAGTGCTATGGAGAAATATAAGTAGGTAGAGAGATAGGGGCAGCCTGGAATGGGAGGAGGAGTGGAATTTTTCATGAAGTATTAAGGGGAGGCCCCACTAAGAAGGTGACATTTGAGCAAAGACTTAGATGAGATGAGGAAGCAAGCCATATGGATGCAGGGATTGCGTGGAGGCTTTGTAGCCAGAGGGACCAGCAAGTGCAAACATCCTGAGGTAGAAGTATACTTGGTAGAAGTATGTTTTAAGAAGAGGAAGGAGGCTCATGTGACTAGAACAGAGCAGCTAGAAGGCAATAGTTGGAAATGAGGCCAGTGGGACAATAGGCAGCAGATTAAGTAGGGCAGTGGTTCTGAAACTTGACTATACATTGGACTCCTATGAGGGCTTTCAAATAATCCTGATGCCAGGATGTACCCCAGACCAATTAGATAAGAGTTTCCAGAGGTGACGCTTAGGATCCACATTGTTTAAAACTTCTCGGATGATTCCAATGTGCAGCTGAGGTTGAGAATGGCAGAGCAAGGCTTTGTAGACTATGATTTATACCGAGAGATGGGGATCCATGAGGGGAGTTTGAGTAGATTAGTGATATGCTCTGTCATTTTCAGACTTTCCTCTGGGTGCTGGGTTGAGAACAGACTGAAGGTTTCAGGGTGGAAGCAGAGGACAATTAGGAGGTGCCTGTGCACTGAGAGGTCAGTGACTTGGCTCTTGATGACAGTGGGGCAGGTGATGAGATCGGGTTGGATTCTGGGTTATCCTGAAGGTGAACTTCAACTCAGTGCCACAGGGACTTAGCCCTCTGAGAGTGCTGCAGAGACCATGCCAAGGGCCAGGGGAGAAACTGTTTTGATAAGGGCAGAGACTAGAGATTGGAGAAAAGGTCCTCATGAAGAACTGGGTCATTAGGACTACTGGAAGGGCCTTGGCCTTGACCTTGACTGACACCAGAGCTGTGGATATTGCTGCCAGCTCTGACTCCAAACACAGGCCCAGCTCAATACATGTTTGTTCGAATTAAAGGGGAAATATGAAAGAAGCCAAGGAAAGGGTGAATCTTACCGATCAGAACACGGCAGTAACAATATGGTTTTTACACGGGACTTGACTTGTTGATACTGCCCTGCCAGATGGACCCACCAGCACTCACACTGAGAGCTGCAGAAACTAGGAGCAGAAAGAGCAAGTGTTATGTGTGAGATGCGAACCCAGGTATCCAGATGCCAGGTCTGCCTTTTGACATTAGCCTACACCTTCCTCAGGTGTAGGTGTCTGAAGTTACTCCAGGTGGGCAGAATCCTGCAGTCTTCTCCTGGGCCTCTGGAGTGGAGCAGTAATACCATGAAAAGACCTTCCCCTGCATAGGCTTTGAGTTTATGGAGTTCACACACCTCCCCGCTAGTCAGGGGACTCTCTAAGCCCCTGATGGAAACACAAATTTCTGGTAAAAGGCAGAGCTGAGCCTTCTGGCTCCTCCACCTGGGAGCTGCTGTGGCTTTAACAAGGCGGCTTTGCACAAGCACTTGAAAGCTCTTTCTAGCTACGCTTCAGCTCCCCTGCCAGACACACACCCAAGACCAGAGGCCTGTTGGTGGACCACTCAAAAAAACATGTGTTGAAACAGTGCCTCCCTTTGTATGCTCATTTCCATAAAAACATTCCCGCCTTGTAACAAGGCCCTTGCTTGGCTTATCCCATTTGACTCATTTTGGAAACATCTTTTCAGTATCTTTACTCTCATTTCATTCTAAATTACACTGGCGAACATTCATATAGTATGAGCCATGTTTTCGAGAACATGTTGGCACTTTATTTATGTTAACTCTGGGGCTCTTCACAGTAGCCTTCTGGAGCAGGTAGTTATCTGGGATAAACAGTTTCCTTTTCTCTCATACGCACCAGACTTGTGATGCCAGAGTGTGGGGTTTTTTCCTCACACTCGCCAATTCTAGGACAGCAGGTGGATATCCTGCAAGTTAGTTCATTCTGGACACTCTATCTGAGGTTCATGCAGTTAGTTCAGATCCCACAAGGTGAGGGCTCAGGCCCACAAGAACACCCCGTCAGGTTCAGTGACGAGTCCCAGGTTGTCTCCTGTATTTCTTTTTTTTTTTAAATATATCCAAAAGGGCAGGTTTATTATAAAAAGGGAGAGAAGAGCAAAGGACACTTGCTGACACACAAGCAGGCAGGAAGAGCTGCTCCCCAAAGGGATAGGTTTGCTAGAGAGAAGTCTGCATAGTCCCACGCAGCAGTCTTGGGAGGAAGCGGCCTCTGCTGCCCTGTAGAGGGAGAATGTTGGCAACAAGGGGCACCTGCATAGATAGGCACAGGCAGGCAGGGGGGCTGCTGCCTCACCTGCATTACTGATTGACTGGCTATAACTTGGGGTTCCCACGACCCCTTCTTGGGTTCAGTAATTGGCTAGCATGACTCATCGAACTCAGGGACACACTTAATTTACATTTACCTGTTTAGTTGGGGTGTGATAAACGATCCAGATGAATAACCAGATGAAGAGGTTTATCAGCTGGGTCTAAAGGGTCCCAAGCACAGGACCTTCTGTCCCCCCTGGAATTAGGGTATGGTACGCCATGCTCCCAGTGTGTGGATGTGGCCGCCAACCAGGGAGCACTCTGAACTACACGCTCAGGGATTTTTATGGAGGGGCCATCCAGAGGGCATGATCTAGCACCACTGCCAGTCCCTCTTCGCTCTCCAGAGGGTGGGGGAGGCAGGTGATGGGGCTGAATATTCCAAGCTTCCGATGATGACTTGGTCTTTCAGGTGACCAGTCCCCATTCAGGAGCCCACTCAGAGTCACCTCATTAAATCCAGAGACACTCCTATCACCCCCAATTCCAAGTGATTCAGGAACTTGTTATCAGAACTCCTTTAACTCAGGAAATTATGAGGAATGTCAGGAGCCAGGGTCAAAGACTAAATATTGGCAGGAACCAAGGGCAGAGACTTATATATATTTCTTCTTATTTCACAGTATTATTGTTAGACTCCACTTTATAGAAGGGGAAGGAACTGGAGACACAGAGATTACATGGTCTGTCCAAGGTCAGGAGTGGCAGAGCTCATTCCCAGATGGAATGACAATAAAATTTGTGCTTATCACCAGCACTGTGCTTTAGCACCTTGAGGTGTCTGTTTGTGTCACTCTACTGGGACTGGCGACCTGATTTAACCAGTATAGACCTGAGTGGACCAGCTAGTATAGGTCAGGAAGGTCCATCTCTGAGTGTGGGAAAATCATTCTAGTGAACATCAAGCCCATTAATCAAGGCAGAGAGTGATGACTGGGCCACCACTGATGTTGGGATTAGGAGCGAGGTGGTGGGGCGGGCCATCTGGAGAGAAAGCCCCCTGCTAGGGACCATCTCCAGGTGAACTATACCAGGCTGGTCCTGCCTCAGTCCCTGCACCTTTCCCTCCTTTTTTGCCCTTGGATATTTGCCCCTGGAAACTTCCTTGGGCTCTGCACTTTGCACTTTGTCTTCTTGGTTTTGTTCTTCCAAGTTCTAACCCTGATATGCTTGGCTTCATTCCTGGACCCAAAAGTCCAGGGTGCTCCAGATTCTGCCCCACCCACCCTTCTGTCCCCTTTGATTGGTCCCTTATTTGGCCTCCCTCTTGACGTAGAGAACGAACACCTGATCCACCTCTTCACCTGGCTGAGTCAGGACAAATCTCTGCTCAGTGCCTTCTACACAGGGCAAGATGTCACTAGAGGGGAAAAGTCCATCTAACTGGTTTCTAGGATTCATTAATTTATTCACCCAACAAATATTTATTGAGCTCCCAGTGTTTGCCGGGCACCCAGTAAAGCATGAGACAGAGAAACCTCACAGGGCTTACACTGTAACCAGAATCCAGAGTGGAAGGTGGTAGGAGAAGCAGGTGATCAGAAAACCTGTTGAGAACCTCCCACCTCCTGGTGGAGGAGTCACCCCTACAGGTTTCTAGTAATTCAGGGCTGAGGGTGAGTGGAA